AGAAAATGAAGAACATTAAAATTCGTTCGGAAACCGTTCCAGGCCCCTCGCCCGAGCACCAACCCCCTCTCCCTCCCCCTTCTTATCGACAAGATGTTCCGCTTGTTAAACCTAAACCCTAGAATTTACGACCGATTCGGCTCCCAAGGATCCCAAAAGGGGCGACAGTAGCTATAACCGAGTACACACTTTTTACAACGTCCGCCGCCACAACCCCCTCGCTCTTTATTTTTTTTTTATATTTCATGACGCGATGAAGTAGTTACACACAGAAAACAGTCGTCAGCGGAAAACAACTATATAAATATATATATATAAAACACGTTTTTGTTGCGATCAACTTTTCGCGCGCCTCGCATTTCGAAGTCCATGCTCGTCGTATATCCGCGCATTCGAGAACGCGACTGCCCTGGCAGCTGCAGCGCCTGTGGAACGGCGGAAAGCCTTTATAACGCCATTATTCGTGGCGCTGTATAATTCCTTATCCGACAAATGTTTAAAACACAGGCACTCTCCACGGACCGGCGTTAAAAAAATCTCGGAACGACGTCGGGTGCTCCGCGCGGGGGCATCTGGGCAAAGTACGCAGGCCGCATCGCGTAGTAGCTAGAGGGCGCTATTTGGACCCGAGCACACACACACACACACGCACACGACAACACGTTCAGTACGAACCCCATAACGACGCGACTTTTACGACCTCGGGTTATAAAATGTCCCTTCCCCCGCAAAACCGCCCGACTCCCTCTCCCGCCATCCTCCAGCCCGTATCCTTCCTTATACACATAGTTTCTATACACATATATATTTCATCCGCTTCGTATCTATCGGCCGCAGCATGCGGTGCATATGCTTCAAAGTTATAAACAGGGCCGTTTGCAACGCGCAACCTGTTCAAAAAAAAAAAAAAAGAACATTGAGAAAGAAAAAAAAAAAACGTCTTTTTCGTCGTTGCCGCGCAGGAGATATAGTTGGCGGTCCGTTCCCTAGATGGCGCTAGACGTCCCGGTGGGAGCTAGGAGCGCGAGGCGCTCCGGAAAGGCACTCTATGGCGCCATTACAGCTAGTTCTCCCGTTCTCATCTCTCCAGCCGCGAGTATACGGGCAGCGTCGTCGGCTTCTCTCGGTCTCTCTCCCGGTGCAACTGCGGAGCGCTCCAGGGCTCTTAATTCGAGATTTATAACCGTGTTCTCACCAATCGCGAGCTGTTTTAGTCGCTGCTCCTCGCGTCCTCTCCCTCTCCTTTTCTTCTACATAACTATATAGATATATTTTTGTACGAGACATTCCGCACTGCTGCTGCCCTCTTCTTCGTGGGTCGTTCTTTCGGTGCTTGCCAGCCGGGGGCAGCCTGTCTTCATGGCGCCATAAATTACGACATTTCTTTTCCCCCTCCTTCCCCGCTGCTGCAGATATGACTTACATCGAAACCCCTAAGTTGTATATATCGCTGATAATAATCCCTGCCTCGGTACGGCAATAAAGCGCCAGATTTATGTCTCCATTATATTTCACTCTCGTCGGCCGCTTCTCTCGCTGTGCGTGGTCGTCGCGTGTTCCATAAAAGGGAGCGACCGTTTTTTTGTTTTTCATTTGCTCTTTTATTTTTATTTACTTCTTTTAAATATCAAATACAGTCTATTGTTCGAGTTATTCCGAAGTGCCGGTTTAACCGCGGGTCGCCTTTCACCATTGCCAACACCAACCATTTCCCGTCGACCCCCCATATGCTCCGTTCATCTCTAAGCTGACAACGCGGTGCGCCGCTAGCCGGAACAACCAATCGCAACCCTTCGATCCCCCGCTCTCTACGCGTGCATATCGGCAGGAGTGTGATCAGGTGGCGAAATATAGGCGCATCATCACGCATGACTGTCCCAACGAGCACGTATAGCCTCCGGCGCACTGTCAGCGGCGAACGGACCGCGCGCCGAGGTGGGGGGAACCTACTTTCCGACCGAGAAGTTCGCTGCTTGTCGTGCAACGTTGCCAGGCTTCTCTTGCTGAAGTAGACAACACTGAGCGCCGAGAGATTCTTAAATAGCTCTTTATAAAACTTGCACGTGTTGTCTTCGTCCGAGAAAGACCACATAAAATTAAACAAAATGCCAAAAACAGTAACGTGCGGAAAAATTTAAAAAAGAAATAAGAATTCTTAAAGCGCATATCACAATGCGCAAGAAGCTGTGCGTCGAGCTGACATCATAGGGCATCAGTGCACACTGCTTACCCACAAGAAGTACATGTCGGGCTGCACAAAGAAATAACACACCTTTATCCGAGCAAGCCCGGCAATCCGCGTTGCCGGGCCCAGCCCTCGAGCGCCTTTAGCCGTGCCAACGTCTTTTTCTTTCACATATGTACACACGTCACAGTACTCGTCATGGCTACTGCATTTCATGGTTGGTCCGCCCCACTGACCTACCCTTAGCAAACCCCAACATGGCAGAAACGCTACACGGCGCCAGCATCGTTCAAAATGGCAGCGCACAGAAGCCTTTCTTGGAAACGCTCGTTCAACAGCCCACGCTAACGTTCTTCTACATGCCAGTAAATCGGGACGCAAGCATTTCTCTCTCTCTCTTGCCCAAAGTCATAAAATACTGCAGTGAGAGCCAGCGATGGCTACGCCGAGATCTACGTACAGTATTTATTTACACTGCGCGCCGCCGTGCTCAGCGCGCGTCCATCCAAGTTTTCTTTCTTTATTTTCTTGCCGAGGGCCGCCAACTCATTTTTTTCTCCGCTAAACCCAGCGTGCGCGAGAGGGAGCGTTCCTGTCGATAGCGACGGTTGTTAAAATGCGTCGAAATTATGGCTCCCGCGTGGCACCCCCCGGGACCGGTGTTGCTGTAAACGGTGGGCCTGTCCCTCCATATATCTCGCCTGCCGCTCAACTTACAAGTGGAGTATTTTTTTTTTGTTATATATAAGAGGCTATTCATTATTTTGTCTTCTTGTTAAGAACAGCGCCATTGAGACCTCCACTGGCTGTGGTACACACACGAGCTAAGTAAACAGACGCTCTAAGTATTTTTTTTTTTTTTAGCTTAGTTTACCGTTTTGATCGGGAAAAGGTTATTATATCAGAGAAGAAAATAATCCGAGAGTGGGGACAATTCCCGGTAAGAGCGAAGCGCTGTTTGAAGTATTAAAGCAGCAGGAAGTAGGTGATGAAACGGCCAGCAGGAGTGGCGACGCGTATAGGCTCTGATATGAGCGCAGATGGCATATTACAACTGCTCTGTTGTTCGCGTTGTCATTTTAGAGACGTGATTTATGTTCAATTCTTTCCTTGCCTGCCAAGTTTTTTTTTTTTCTTTTAGTTTTTTTTTAGAGTCTGATTCCAGCTGACTCGTTGTCTCTCTCTCTATCTCTTAAAAATATATATAACTATACCTAACTTTTAAAGATGATTTAGGGCCTTATTGTAATGCTAAAATGAAAGCGGAAAATTCCGTGCTAGCTGACTTTTTTTAACATACATGTTTTAGTTTTGAGTTGATGTGTAATTAATATCATCGTGGTCTTCCTTGCCCTGATTATGACGAATAGAAAGGGTGCGAAACAAAAACGTAACAAAAATACGCATACAAAATACACATTCTCTAACCACGACAGCCTTTCTCGGCCATGTCTGGCGATAATCCGGAACTCCGTTAAGCTCCAGCGATTAGGCCTAAACAACCCCAAACGAAGCCCACCAGGCCGGCGGTCTGTCATCATCGGAGATTTCGCGCGTCTCTGAACCCTCCCACCGAGACCAGACAAATGCAAAAATGAAATCCGCTTTGGCGCCGTCCCCCTTCCCCCCCCCCCTCCCTTCCCCAAAACCACAAGGCAAAACCACAAAAACGTTGCCGTCCCCAAAAGCGTGACAGAAAAAAAAAGGGACTTTCATCATTAAAAAAATTAAAAATTAAAAAAAAAAAGGTTCAGAAAGGGGGATTAGACACAAAAGGAAGGGGGCAGAGTTCAAATGAGTGCGAGACATCTACGACAATCCTTCTCCTTCGGTGGTCCTCCTTTTGAAAAATGCCGGTAAGAGCCAGTCCGGCGAGAAAGTACCAGTCGCTTCCCTTTTCATCGTCAACGGTGAAGTGCGGTGGGACCGTGGACGCCCATCCCTGCGTTTGTTTCGCGTTTGTGCCCCCACCACTCGATCGTCGGCCATGACAGTCTCGTCTGCTCCTTTCTCGAGCGCGGCGCGAAATGATGCGATTCCGAAAGATTAGCGTGACCGAAGAGGATGCCCCATGCGAGCCGTCGAGGCCTCCTTCTCCCTTCCACGCATTCATCCGCAAAAGAAGGAGCGAACGACGCACCGGAGGAGCGCCGAGTCTCGCCGATCGAGAGCGAGCTCGCCTCGACGAGTCGGCAGGCAGGCTGGCTCAACGCCGGCTAGCCTTTCCCCCACCGACGGCCGTCCACCCAAGCGGCCCAAAGGAAGACCGCCCCGGCTCTGACAACAAAAGCTGACATAAATCATGCCTGATTGGCAGCTCTGACAACGGGCTGATGGATAGCGTTGTAAAAGTTGACAGCTGGCCCCACGCCAGATCATTAGCTCGGCCGGGCTTCCATTGGCCGCCGCGACCGCGGAGCGCTTCGGGGGGAGAGAAGGAACCGGAAATTGATGGGCGTGACGTCACGCGCCACGCTCCGCCCATTTCACCGGATGTTGGGGCGCTCCCCTCCTCCAACAGCACGTGACGCGCTCTGGAGGTCCGCGATCCCCGACGAGTTGCTCGCAGAGCGCGTCGAGCCACGCTTGTGAGAGGTTCTCTGTGATCCGCGCTGCGGCATTGCCTTCAGTTCGTCGTCGCATTCTCCGTTGTTTTTCCGGCTTCCCCAACGAACAGCTTGCGCTTTTCGGTGTGTGTGATATTTTTCGTTTGTTCTGCGAGCCTCCGCGGAGGCTGGATTACCGGAGTTTCGGTGCCACAGAGAATTGTTTTGTGCCAGGATTACCCGTCACAAGATCGTCGTCGATTTGAGTTGTGCGCGCGCGCGGCTCCGGTTTCGTCCGCCGCTGTGGTGGACCTATCACCATGCTCACCTCAAGTAATCAGTACCTGAGGCCCGAGTTTCTCTCTCCGCTGCCAACGACGGTAAGTGTCAATTACGATTCGTGCTCTCGAAAACTCGGGTAGTATCGACTAACGGTACGTAAGCGTGCCTGCGCGACATGAAGGTTAGTTTGCTTATCGGTCTGACATCCTTCTCAATCCGATGTCGAAGTTACTGGCTTCCTTTACCGACGTAAGAACTGGTTCACGGGACCCGCTCTTCGCACTTAAACGCACAAAAGACGACCGTCTGTTTTATAAGGACTTAGAAGTACGCGAACTAAATCGCAGTGTTCGCGCCATTCTGGTTTTGAAGGTGGTATAGTAACCGAAATAATCACCTGTCAAGGACATTATGCGCCGGTCTAACACCACGTTGTTGAAGTGCAGACTAAAGGCGAACGTCTTGCGAGGCGCTCCGTATTTCGAGAAGCAGACGCTCTGCATCGAATGGAATGCCATGGGCGCAGAAAAATACAAAGAATTTGCACCTCCATCCCGTGTCGCCATCTATCGATGCGGGTCGGCACTAGCGGCGTGGGGGTTCGTTTCCAGCTGCCGCTGCTCGTGTGGTGTCGGTGCTAGGCCTTTCAATTCGCGTGGATTGGTGGATCTCGTGTTGACACGTCAGCGACGTTTTATAATGTAGTAATGCCAGGTGTTATGACTTTCGTTTTCCGGATGTCGTGTCCCAGTTCGTTTTTATGATTTATCTACCGTGCGACATGAATTTTGCGCCGAGATCTGCAGCTCTGTCAAGCTGTTTTCAAACCTAGTTGGCTCCAGTTTTAGTCTGCCTCTCTTTTTTTTTCTTTCTTTTTTTAGTTGTTGCCTTTAGCGTTGGCTTTGCATGACTTCCACGTTCCAAAGCAGCACGTTGGCTAGTGAGTGGTCAATGTAACCGTCAGCGAGTGATGCATTGCAATTTCTTGTCCAACTGCTTGATTCTAAAATTGAAAAAAAAAAAAAAGAAAAACGTAACTTGCGTAGTTATATATGTTACACTGTTTGTATCTTTTTCACTGGCAATCCAGTAATATTGTGTTCCACTGAGACATAGGCTCCTGCGTGTTCCTGTTATGAGGCTCAACGTCATAACACTTTGGGGATCAAGACGTTAACATTCGAGCGAAACGGTGTTGTTTTTTATCGCTCTTGCTTTCTCCCCCGGAAATACCTATTTTGTGAGCATGCGAAGGCGGTGTAACGACCTAGAGACGCCATCTACACTGAACGAACGCACAGAAACGTTGACAACTTCTAGTTTTACTACAATAGGATGGGCTCCACCATTGAAAATGACGTCCGTTGTTGATGTTGTAGTTGTTAAAACCCGGAGGGCGTCCGTTGTCGATGTTGTCAAAACCTCGAAAAAGATCCCCCGCCGACCACGGGAACCGAACCTGCTTTCGCTGCGTGCGAAGCGGTGCGAGAGCCGCGCTCCCTAGCTCCTGGATGATCCGCTTCAACCTTACACCTTGCTGACGCGGAAGTATGATGTAAGGCTCTGATACTGCCCGTATTTTGCAAAATTATAATCACGCGTCGCAGACCCAACCTCGTTGGAATTTTTGTCGTACCCGATGTCCACTGCACGCGCTCTGGAAAAAGCAATATCCGATAGCAAAATGCCGTTGTGTAGCGCTATCAGTGCCAAGAGGTGGTGCCGAGACACGCGCTTTCCACAAGCTCAGGAACAAAAGCGTTTGGAAGAAAATGGCCAGATGTCTATTTGACGCACCCGTGAACGCGACTTCGATACCCAACAACCTCGCCGTGACTTGTCGCAGCTACCTTCGTGAATGTGTACTGTGGATAAACGCGGGACTGCTCAAGCTTATTTGGAGGATCGTTTGCAACTCGGTGATTTTTCCTGCGTTTGCTTTTGCGCAAATAGCTTTATCGGCCTCTGTAACTCGTCTTCTTCGATACCGTTCACTAGCTTAATTTAGGAGTCTCCAAACCCCGACCCGCGATAACTTTCCGACCTGCCTGCGGATCTTCCCACCGGCGCAAAAATGAGCGGACGCAAAGAAACTGCGTCGCGACGCGCACCAAACAAATCGTATTCGTTCTCATTGCTATACCACTGATAGTTTTGTGTCATCCTTATTACACATTGCCAGGCGCCACCGTCGTCATTTGTAGCCCTCTGTTTTATGTCAGTTTAACTGCGTTCAAATGCCTGCGCTTTACGTTTTTATTGTGCTTAGTTTCCTGTGTTGTAACTGTCACGTATATGTATCGTGAATTCTACCCATCTCAGTAGTTTGCTGCCATTTGGGAATATGGCATAGTTGATATGCGCCTTGATTTATACCTTGTGTCTTTTGTGTGTCAAAAATATTGTTACATGTCGTGATTATACCAAATGGGCAATGGAAAAATAAATAGTATAAAAGGTACCGTAAATATGCATTTTTTTAATTTATGGGGCACTTTTATTTTTATAATGTAATCGTGTTCTTTTTTTTTTAACGTTTTTCGCTGTTTATATTTGTTTATTTATTTTTCGGCACTCGAGGCTGCGACAAATCCTGAATCCGGCCCCTTAGCCGAAACGTTTGGAGGCGCCTGGTTTCATTGAATGTGGTTCAAAATTTTTAAACACGCGGTCACAAGTATGACACGACAGGGCAGTCACTTCTAGATTCCTCTTTATTACACGCATTCGCTCATCGAGATCGGCCAACGCAAGGACGTGAAACGGATACGAGCAACCCTTAAACTCCAGCGATATCTGAGACAGCGTCTTCCCATTGTTCTCGTCGCTCGAGACGCACGTCCATTGCTAGTTCGGACGCAAGCTCTTGAAGCTAACGTCGCTCCTGGGCTAATCGATGTAGAGACGGATTATTACGTGATGTCGACATCGGTTCAGTCGCGGTCGTTGAGCTCTTCTGGCTTTTTAGAACTTTTAGCACGCCTACACGACGCATCAAGTAACGGTTACGAAAACTTCCCGGAGGGAGCGTTACGCGAAGATCATTTCCTCGTAAAATGGATGTGATGCATCCTTGTCTGCCGACAATGCGACAGCCGCGTTGGCAAGCCCTGTGGCATCATTGCATGCTGTGCGTCAATATTCAACTCTTTTCCTTTTGTTCATCGAGGAATTGCTGGGCAGGCCGGGGACGGGAATACGTCGACGCATTTTGTGAGCTTCGGCACATTTATCTCTTCCCACTTCATGTGAGTCGCGCAGTAGGTACACTTCGAACTGACGCCGGGATACAGTTTTCACGCGTTGGCTCACAGCACGCAGGAAAGCTTCGAGCGGCGATGTGCGTCCTCGTGGTCGGCTCTTTCTTTTTTTCCTTCCTCGAGATTCGGAGTCAGGGTTTACAACCAAGTACCATGGCTTAAAACTGTCGAGAAACGAACCGCAAATTGCAAATACTTCACTCAGTCTATAATGTGTTCATACTCCACTGAGAACCTCCGTTGGACACTTTATTGGATCGGCACCAAGAAACTCTAGGGAATCACCAAAAACAGTTCGGACAATTTTTGAAAAGACAAAACTGTTTCGGTAGAGAGAAAGACACATGAACGCAGCCTAAACCTATGCTGGTAAAAGGGGACGTCCACACCATCGTGTTTTACGGCAGGCGACGTTTTTCAGCCGTGTCCGACTGCTTTTAACGGTCGTATAGCACGCTCGTCAAGCGTGACCGTCGTTGTAAGCGGTTCCCAGGGGCAAGAGCAAACTCCGCCAGAACCTTCGACGCTAAAAAGGTGTTGGGGAATGACTGTATGCGACCAGAACCACGCCATATCCGCTCGACAAAAAAATACGTGCACTTGCGGCGGATCCGTCGTGCTCGTTGATAAATGGGCAGACCCAAAGGTGAGAGAGTACTCGCCAAAAAACGGCTTGACGGCAGACTCCTGGCCGCACCAGTACGCTAAGAAGCGTTTGGCTTGAAGTACACTAAAAAGTCGCCAAACACATGGTATATCTGTCCGACTAAGAAGAAAAGAGAACGTTGTTGTGAACAGCCCCAAAGATGACAGAGTCTACTTGCCAAAAAAGGTTTACTAACAAACGTTGTCGTGCGAAAAAAAGAAAAGGAAAAAAAGCGACGGGATTCGAACCACGTCATATCCGTCTGACTAACAGTCTCAAAGTTGAGAGCCCCTTACCTGCCAGGAACGGCTTGATAAAAGAAACTGCACCGACTTAGCTAAGATAACGATTAAATCTAACCCTTCGTCACCGATACAGAAAACGTCATTAGTGATGCCGAAGTGGCAGGAATGGGAAGGCACGACAACTGTAGTGCCATTTACGGAGGTCCGCGTACACTTCGGGAAGACGACCGTGGTTGGCGTTGTCCCGTCTCCTCTTTCCTAACATCACTGACGACGATAGCTCCTGTATGGTCAACGAAGCGTCAGATTAGATTGATATTCCTGTTAAGTCGGTGTAGCTCGTTTTACCGTGATGAGTCTCGGCTTGTGGAACATTTTTTCGAGAACGGCTAGACTCGTGGCGCCCGGCATGCAAGAAGAGCGCTGTGTTCCCACGCAGCCAGGGCGGCGGCGACTCCGAGCGCTTCGTGCCGTCGCTCCCATGCGCGGCGAGCGATTAAGCGGTTCGGGGGCGTCGGGCCAAATTGATCGGGCCTCGCTGCTGTCCCCTTCTTCTCCGCGTGCCAGTTCGCGGCCGCCGACTCGCTTTGAATAAATTGCCCGCGCTCGATTCTTCCCGCCTGCTCTGACGACGACCGCCCAGTCGCATCTGCTCTCCCTACCGCTTGCAGCAGCGGGAATTAGCGACGCGGATCTTCTGGGGGAGGGGGGGGGGGGGGGGGCAGTACGGCAAGATTAACGACGGGACATCCCCGCGTGCCCACCCAGAACGCGCTTTGCCTCGTTGTGTGTAGTCTTGTATTTTTCTCGTCGGGGACCGGTTGAAAAGTGAACCGAAAACCGCGTTTACGAGTAAGACATACGCAGCGCCATGGAGCTGCGGACGCATGCCCGGCGTCTGATATTTTCCAGAAGAGAGCTTCTGCGCATGATCAGAGCGCATTCCACAGCCTAGCAGACAAAGATGACAGCACGCAGAAGGCGATTATTGGAAAGTCTATAGACCCTTCCAATAATCACCTTCTGCATGCAGCCGCGCTTCGAGAGCTAGTCTGGCCAACGTGGATGAAAAACGCCTTATTTGGGCGCTAGTCTAAAAACCGTGGGTACGTCTCAGCAATATATGATTGACTATCAGACGACCTACCTACACCAGCAGCAAGATGGCAGCGCCCAGAGGCCATACTCGCAAAATGTCTATACGCACGACGCAGACGTGCCCTTATTCTCATTCGTGACGTCACAGAACTCTAGTGCCCGGACGCCGAAGTAGGCAGTTTCGAGGGGGATATGGGCGAACGTGATAGCGGGCAAGGATTGCAGAAATTGCAACGTTGATAGCGCAGCTTCTTTGGCAACCTGACGATCCTTCTCTCGCACCACTTTCTGGCGAGCATTTGTTTGATCAGTCGTTGAAGCTCCCGCCTTTACGATTTTGCTGCTAAGGCACGCAATTTTCGTCCGCCTCAAGAGGTAAAGTGTCTGTCAAACTATCGCCTCAAGAATGCTAAACCAACTCGTCCTACTCGGTACTTTCTATCTGCTTTGCGGTTAGACGATATTTTTCCGCGTCAGCTTAGAAAATGACCGTCTAAAATACGGTGTAAGGAAAGGTTGTTTCGACGCAGCAGAAGCGTGGCGCTTTCCGGTGTGGGTCGCGTGCAAGTATGATGTTGCACATTAACACCTTTCAATGAGCGACGTATAACTGAGAAATCCGTGGAACAGGGGCTTTGGCACGTATTCGAATGCGCGAGAAGGCGTGAAGGTCAATTAAATTTAGTGCTCGGCACGTGCAGGTACACAATTCTCTCGTGTCTGAAGGGCGTCGTTATTGTCTGCGGCGGCGTCGCAACGTCTGAAGTCAAAACTATACTGAAAGCATTTTATTTCTATATTTTCGTGAAAATTTAGTGCCGCGTTCTAGTAAAAAACGCGTTCAGCCCAATACCGCCCGTGTCGCATAACTCAACGCGTCGAGCTTGCTGTAAAAACACAGGGTGTCGTTCTTGCCTCTGATTTCCGTTCTTCAATACATTGGGTGTCGTTCACAACGCGATAACGTGATCAATAAAGATAAAGGCCAAAACTCGGATGCGCGGCGTTGTTCCGAACTTGACAGACCTGGATCTTCGCGTTGCCAGGTATCTGTGAGCTTCTCTTTGAGGTTTTCGAAGAATACACAAGCATACCGGGTCAGGTATCCCATCCAACGTGTAGTAGTCGTAAAGACAGAATGCGTATATGTCGCGTCATCGTATCCTCGCAACACACGGTCTGATGCGAACGGAACATTTTCCGTCCGCTGTAAAAGAGCGTTTTTTCCGAGGTATACGCTGGGGGCAGGCTGCCACGCTCTGTGTCGCACGCACAATGTCGAGTATATCCCCCCCCCCCCCCCCCCCCCCCCGCGCTGTAGCTAACATAATAATAAACCAGGACATCATTAATGATGTCAGAAAGAAAGCTCCGTCCGGCGGAGCTGCAAACAAGAAAACACCGTGTGTTCAAGGGTAAACAGGCAACGTTTCCCCCGCCCCCCCCCCCCCCCCCTTTTTTTTTCTTTCTTTCTCGTGTACGTTCTATTCTCTCGACTCAGTTGAGCGCAGATATGTGTACAATGAGAGGGAAAAGGCATCCGGTCCGTCTCTGCTTGGCGAGGTAACCGGATGTTGGCGACTAACGCCAAAGTCGTTGGACGAATGTTACGCTCGAGATGTGTTCCTTTTGTCAGTCTGGGACGTGACCTATGGAAATATATTTGTGTCTCACTTTTAACCGCGCGTTTCGCCTGGTTTCGCCTGAAGCGTGAGCGCTTTCGCGCTGGCAGCTCATGCACAATTGGAGCCAGCTGTTTTTATGAGTCGCCGTCGCTTCTTCGTGTATAAGGTTAAACAAAGATGAACGTTGAAATCCACGCCTCTTGCCGTGGTAAGTACATGCCTCGAGTTGCAACAGATTCGTTGAAAGTCTCCGCTTTGCAAGGAACGTTTGTCGTGTCAAGAGTGACTTATTTGCCGTCTTATTTTACCTAGACAAATTCTTTCTTCCGTGGTACAGAACAATGACTTGCCCGCTTTGTGGCTTTTCAGGCGCTCCGAAAAATGAAATCTCCTTCGTTATTTCAAAAGCTTCGCGCTGGTCTTGTAGTCGGTGACAGGTTCAGATACGCCGCTGGGCACGGTCAGTCCGGAGCAGCTTACCGTTGCTTCTTAGCCAATCATATTGCAGAGTTCGCCGATGAAAAAGGACACCAAAGAACAGATCACGACGCAAGGTCCACAACATAATAAACCACGTCTTGCATTTCTTTTAAGGGATCAGTAACTATACGCGATATGTAGGGCTAGCAGGAAGGCATCGGCAGTTTATATGCCTTAATAGAAATTACGTCGGAATGACTTATGATGTGGAGCCGACGTGATCACCGAATTTATTGTTCTAAAATGTAGTCTCTTTATACATACGAGATTCTAATGAACCGTTAAAGGAGGGCCGGGAGCGATTGTGCGGGTTTTGTACGCCAACAGAGATGTCTGGGATACACCCCATACATATTGTATCCAGGACTATTGAGTGTGTCTTGATCAAATAGCATGGTATGCTACCTTGATCGGAGGAAACCTTCCGAACGCTCATGCAAGGGTATATGCCTGCCAACAGCAACTATTTATCTGCAGCCAACCTTTCCGCGCGCGTAAATTCTTGCGAATGGCACATATTCAGGAGGTGATTTATCACGACACGATTAGAAAATGAACAGGGCGACGCCGGTGACGGAGTGTTTGCTTTACAGCGGGAGCCAGGGCTCCACGAGTGATCGCCAAAAAATCTTCGCCGCCGCTGACTGGCGTAAACTTCGCTGGGGGGCCCGCGTAGATTGGTTCTTGAAGGATACCTCCCCGCCGGTCTTTTGACGTGGCGATCCAACGGGGGCGGTGTGTTTCGACGTTAAACACGAAATTGCTTGGGTTGCACAACGCCGACGCGTGTTCTCTATACATTCGCCCGAGAGGAAATGCTCGTTGTTCGCTGTCAGTGATGGATCAGGCTGTCAGTTTTTCCGCGCGATGCTCGCGCCGAAGTAATCTATAACGGTTTTCTCGGGAATGAGAAAACACGAGGCCGAACGTCCGCGTTGTAACCGAGACGCGTCTCCTTGCGTGAATGGACTATACGACGCCGATCCCCGCGACGGGATCAGGCCAGTAAACGTCCCCGCGTGAAAGGAGGCGATGCAAGAAACGGGTATTGCTGCCGCTAGCTGTGCAATCACCCGGCGTGTCAGACGCCGATCAGCCAGACGCCGTTACATAATGCACGTGCGAACAAAAGGACGCTGTTTGTTAAACCTGCGTCAATCAATGTAAATGGAACAGAAGAGCGAGCTGTGACAGTTCTATACATTATGTGTCAGGAAGACATTGAACATGTTTTCAAATAGTTCGCAATTCGGTGGCTTTCTTCGTAATTTGGACCTGGTTAACGCGAATTGATTTACTTGTGGCTTACAAGATAATACGCGCTTAGACGATTATCATGCGACGTACAATAATCTGTTCATATGCACTCAATCGAGATTATTTTGTCTCGTGCAGTTGGACGCCAAGAAGAGCCCGCTGGCCCTGCTGGCTCAGACATGCAGCAACATCGGCGCAGACAACCCCAACATCAAGCCCATCATCCCGCCGCTGGAAAAGCCCAAGGACCAGGAGAAGAACAAGAACAGGTCCTCACTGTCTTCTTCGACGTCTCATCGAGCCAGCTGGACGATAAGCCGTCCTTCAAGCCCTACGAGTCGGCGAAGAAGGAGGACTCCTCTAATGGCGACATCGGAGGGGGCAAGAGGTCTCCCTCGTCCAAGTCAGGCTCTCCGGCGGCGTCGAGGATCGCCAGTTCTTCTCCGGCGGCATCTTCGGTCGGCTCCAGCGGCAAGGCCTCGCCTAACGGCATCTGAAAACGGAAACTCCAAGTCTGACGCCTCGTCGTCTTCCGTGACGGCCACGACGACGTCGTCGTCGACGCCTTCGTCGCACAACACGCTCAGTGGGCTTGGCTACGGCGGCGCCGCGGCCATGGGCCCTGGACCTCGCCAGAGACGTGTCCAAGGAAACCCTGTCTCATCTGACGTCGCTGAGCGCGCCGCCTACAAAGGCCATCAACCCCTTGGCCGCTGTTCCCCGCTGATGGGACACCTCCCCGTGGACGGCGTCGGCGCGGCGCACTCGTTCTCGCAGAGCATCGCGAACCAGGCGTCCGCGGCGCTCAAGCTTGGCAGTTACCCCGTGGGCTCCCCGCTCTCCCCGTACGTGGGCTACGCACGCATCAAGACGGCCAGCGGCGGCACCACGCTGGTACCCGTGTGTCGCGACCCGTTCTGCACCAATTGCCAGATGAGCATGCAGAGCGCGCAGCTGGGTGTCTGCCCCAGCGGCTGCACGCAGTGTTCGCACGACCGGCTAGGGGCGCCGCCCGGACTGGGCCTCAACCCCGGCCTCGTCCCCGGCCTGGGCTCGGTGCCGGTCAGCCTGGCGTCCCAGCTGTACCCCGGCGCCCACTCGATGCTCGCCAGGCCCAACGTCTGCAGCTGGATGGTGGGCGACACCTACTGCGGAAAGCGGTTCTCCACGTCCGAGGAACTGCTCCAGCACCTACGGACTCACACCAACCTGTCGGTGACGGACTCTAGCTCCCTGCCCCTGCTCTCGCCCAGCCTCACAGTGCCATCGCCCAGTCTTAGTGCGGCGGCGTGTCATCTGCACTACAGCACTGCGCCGTCGCTCACCACGCCCGCGGGACTGCGGAGGACGTATCCGACGAGTTTGAGCCCTGTGAGCTCGTTGTCTGCGCGGTACCACCCGTACAAGGCGCCGATCCCGGGTTTCCCGGGCACCCCGTTCGCCCCGCTACCTCACCCATCCCTCGGCATGTACTACTCGCCGTACAGCCTGTACGGACAGCGGCTAGGACCTCCTGTGCACCCGTGAGCGCCCGTCGCCCTCGAAGCCCGATGTGGTGCCACTCTGGACGTGTTGTTTTCTTCTCTGTTGTGACAAAGGTACGAGACTGCGAACACTTGCTCTCCGCGTGCGTGCACTGTGTGTTACTGCGGCGGCTCGCGTCGGCCCGCTTTCCCTGTCCCTGCTGTAGTTTCACGAACTTGTCAGCGAACGACTTCTGGGTCGCTCGTGCGCGCGTTGTCAGCACGGCTCGTCTTTCGTTTTCGAGTTTCGGTGTGTTTTTGTAGAGAGAGAGAGCACTACGCAGTTTGCGTGAATGGGCAACCGTTGAGAGTTATGTGTGCCGGATACATATGCAAGCAATACGCAGTGGCCTCCGTGTGTGCTTTTTCTTCTTCTTTCAGCACGTAGACAATGTATTAAATATTAAACATGTCATAATGCTTTGTTAGAAAGAAAAAATCATATTGGCACAGTGCTCTGCCGGTGCAAATCGAAGGTATCCAGGTCTTGTTCGAAAGCGGCTCTCGGATCTGTTTCGTTGTTCCGCTTAATTCGTCCGATTATCCAAAAGCCTCGTTCTGTTTTTAATACATGTTTACGGAGGTCGACTAGAATACTGTAAGGATGACACGACATTCACGACCGTAAAACGTAAGAAGGGCAGAGCGAACGCACCTTTTTCCTCCCCGAAAGAGATCTCATCAACTCCTGCTTGTGCCTATCCATGTGCCTCGTCTTACTTTGAGAGTGACACTGCAATCGTAACGGTCCGTGATCTAATTTGCACGATGTCACGTGGGGGGGGTCGAAGGCACGCTCAAGGGACAAAACCAACTCACACCATGTTGCTCATGTGCAAGCACGCCGAGGACATGTCGGGGGACGTGGTCACATGTCTTGGATCGAGGCACGTTTTGTGTTGGATGTTTCCTTTTTTTTTTTTTTTTGTATAATTTAATTTCGGGCACCGTTTCTCGCGCTGTTGACTACTTTTTTCCGTTCGTACTTGCTTTTCGTATCTTTCTTCATTTTCACTAGCAGATTTTTTTTTTTGGTTAGGGGAGTTTTGTTGACATTGTTGACGGTGTTGACAGTTTAGAAGTAGCAGCATTTTTTTATATGCGTGATATCTTGAGGCACCCCGATTTCCATTTCGTGTGGGGGCTTCACGTAACTGGCGGATTAAAGAAACGCGAGACCAGTCTTCTAGGCAACTTCTATGGTAACTGACAGCTTAAGGAACGCAGGTAGCGTGAAAGTCATAAGGCACACTCTGCTTTCCTCAAACTGTCAAAGTCTATAGCTACATATTTCACGCTTGGGGGGGAAGGGGGGGGGGGGGGGGGGGGAAGAGGAGGATGCATCGATAGGAGAAAAAAATAAGATTTTTAAAGAAAAATTTGTACCGGCTAGTTTTTCTTTTCCACTTATTGTCCATCCCCACCTTCCATACGTTCACAGTGGCGTGTGCAAGCTGATCGAACAACCAGAGCAAGGTAGTCAAAACAGAAAAGGAGATATATTAAATAAAATCACAGAAAGGGAGGATCGAAAACGCATTTGGCTCGCACATTTTTCACCCGGAGGTAAAAGCGAAGAAAATAGAAGAGGCATCTGCCTGATTGTCCCATCGATCAGGCTGATGAATCGTGCCGCAGCATCGCGACGGGTTTGCCTTGCTAATCTCAAATGTAGCGTTTTCTTGGACGCCAGATTACCATATACGGGTCTTTCTCTCTCTCTCCCTTCGCGTGATCCGAATCGGAGATTATGGGGAGAGAGCGATTTATAAATATTCGCTCCGCTGCATTTTACGACCCCCAGCCGCGCTGCAGGGGATTCGCTCGTCCTCCGCAGGGATGGCTATCTTTGAATGATGAAGCTGGCCCTGCAGCGGGGCAGCACGCGGCGGTCCGTTCGATGATGCACACCCGGGCTGCTTGTGTGTTTCCTTGTTCCGATGCCGATGCGTTCTCTAAGCGGGAACCGGTGCCGCTTAGCTCTTTGTGAAAACAACGCTTCGAGCTCGTGTGGCTCTTGGCAAGGGAAACGGCGTGATGCCCCTAAGCTCATTTCTTGATTATCTTCCTTATGCTGAGTTTTTTAGAAGAATAGTCTAGGGATGTTGGAACGGTGTTTCGAATCGAATACTGCTGCGTCACCCGTAGCCTTCACAGTGCAAGCTAAAGCCAACTCCAACTAGCTCTTTGAAAAGTGCAGAAGCGAGGGGCGACACTGCGGCCGTTCCATCCGAACCACTATTCTTTCATCACTAGAGATTACTTTCTTTCCTGCTGCGCGGAATAGGCTACTGGACGATGGCAGTCACGCTGTCGCAGCACTCATGCGCAAGCACTACAGTACGTTCGCCGGCGTTGTCTTCGAGACGTATATACAGCGCCGATTATTTCGTTGGGCTTTTAGCGCTGTGAAATACTAAGTCAGAGTGCCCGAAGTGTATTGCCAAAATCGCGATTTTTTTTTTTCTGTGTTTTTGTGTTTTTTTGGGAGGATGCGTGAGGATGAAATGCGGGATGTGTGGCAGCGTGCTTGATTGTAATATACATTCTGTACAGAAGATTATTTTGTTTGTATTTTTAGTGATAAGTGTTTTGAAAGTTTTTTCTTTTTTTTTTTCTTTTTTTCTGCATGACCGAGTCGTGTACAATAATATATTTGAGCAGTGCCCGGGATTTCCCTTTTCTTTTTTTCGTTGTGTTTTGTAAATATTCCTCGATGCTGATGATCCCGTAAATATATGACATTGATGAAAACTATGCCTCCTGTGTCTGGGTGTTTCTTGCGTTGATTGAAAAGTGGGCTATCACGATGCCTTGAGTCGCGTACTACACTGGCGTAAACATTTTACCCTGGATGCAAGCATGCTTCGCTGCCATCGCTGAGATCAAGAAGCAAATTTTGGAATGAAAGATTAGGAATGCAATTCATGATACATTGCAGTGACACTAGTGCTAGCTTCTGCTCAGCAGGGATATCAAGGTGCCCTAGACAGTCAGAGCTAGCATTATAAGGTTGAAGAAGCTCATTACGAAACCAAACAAAAAAATATCTTGAAAAACGCTTTAAGAAGTAGCGTTTTTACTAAAATAAATAAAAAGAATAACGAATATGTGGTAAGTTTTAAGTTTGGTTGAAACCACGGCGATGTTTGAAAACACTCTTTTGATATATCTACAAACGCAAAGCAAAAGACCATACTTGCAATAATGGCGATGTACTCGCGAGCCTTCTACTCCTTGGATGTGCTTGGTGCCTGGGACACTGCTGACGAATTCATGAAGGGTACGAAGGCGTTGGCAGTGTTCCTCAGAAATATCGAATTGTCGGCCACCTTGTAGGTGCCTAAACATACTTTCGTGAGATGGAACAGTTTTCCCATTACCATATTCGCCCTCATTGACAATTTCACCCCAACTTCCTCGTCGCTATGCGAAAAAGACGCCTAGCCTTGATACACGTGGGGGAGGGGGGAGGGAGGAAAGATATGCTCCGCATATCTTTCCTCCCCCTCCCCTCACTCCCCCCCACCGCGTGTTTTTGCCGGTGCAGGGTAGCCTGCCAAAACCTACGTTCAGTTTACCTCTCACCTTCCTTAATAAACATCCCTATATATTGGGATATATATATATGTAGAGATATATTGGGATATATATATATATATATCTACAAACGCAAAAAAAAAACCCCAAAACAACAACGAAGACCATAGTAAAAAAAAGAAATACTGCGCGAAGACTTGAGGGTTGCCTGATCATTCCGATCTCAAAATTCACCCTTCCTCCCTCTTTTACACATACTACCATGTTGCGCTTCCTGTACCGCTACGAGGTAAGCAACGTGCTGATACACTGAAGGCGTGAACACCGTCAAGTACCGACATCCCTAGAGCCATAGTGCAGCTCTACAATCAAGCTGACACGTCGACGAAGCATCCGCTCACGAACACGTTAGAGATAGGATGGCGGCAGTCGAACGAGAAGAGCGTGATTAAAGAAGCAGCCGCTCAACTTTCCCGCTAGCAGCGTGAGTATAGTATTTATAAGAGCCCGATCGGGCCCGACGAACAAGCTCCCACCGGAAGGTGGAGACGCGGTTGTCACGCCGCCGCCGCCGCCGCGGGGTTAGGGTCAACCTGGGGGAAAAACGACACCCGACGAGAAACGATCACACGAGTAGCATCTCCGGGGAGACGACCTGCCACGCCGGCGGCGGCCCGATCGGCGAGACATGACAGCAAAGGGACTCATCCGGCCATCCTCCGTCCACCCGACCGACATCGAGCGACAGACAGGGGCCCCGTTCCGCACAATGCCGCATGCGCCGTTTGACTGACAGCGCCGCGACGGCTCGGCGACGTGTTTTCCAGGACCCTTTTGTCCCCTTCCGTGAGGTATAGAAAAACAGGGGATCCTGTGTTTGTTGTTGCCCGTTTGTTTGTTGGTTGTTGTTGTTCGGCAACCACTCCTCCCCGCATCCGATTCTCTGTCTCTTCCGCGCCGTGTAAACCGTATTTACGCTGGCAACAAGCGGAAAGTAATTCGACTCTGAATGGCGGCCATCTTGAGAGCGGCGGCGGTGCACCGAACGTTTCCGTCCTGTCTTTTCGGTGCTTTTGTGGTCCGTCCCTCTTTTCGGTTTCTTGTGCTCTCTCCTGCGTGTGTGCGGCGAGCGAGACAGCGGACGGGCGGTCACGCAATGTGAACTTAACGAGTCTGACGCGAAGTTCTTACAGGGTGTATATCGACGGCGGCGACCGGGAGGGCAAGCCCCTGCGTTTTTTCTTTCTTCCTTCTGATTGACAAGCGGGACGCTTCCTTTGTGCGGCTCGAGGGGCCGACCTTGATTGTCAGACGAGAAGTGGTCGCTCGAGTGTGACCGTGCCGCTTCACGGCAGCGGCGGCGGGCGAGGAGGATCATTCAGAACGGGCTGGGAATTTCGCGACGACAGCGGGTTCCGACAGTTGACGTGTTCTCGCGCGAGCTGCGCGACGAGCAAACCTAGCCAAGGAACGCGAGGTTCGTGTTTTTCGGGCTCGACTGGAACGTCAGTTCGTTGTCATTTCCCAGCCTCTTTCGATCAACTGGAAGATATTAATAAATAAAAGAAAGTTAAAGTTCTGTTTTTTGCCCCAAATTCAACTATATAGTCACTGACACGATGAGACCGACCGGGAGATTCTTAAGGTGTCCAGCGTGAGCTTCAGCTAACATCTCCGATAAAGCTTCTGCGTCTTGTGAGCCTCGAGTCTATCACCTGCACGCTGCAGCCAAAGTGAGCAGGAAGCCGGGTGTCGGAAAGAGACGCCTACCGTTCTCATTTCCTCCGGTGATACAATATCGAGTTCGACGTATATCGCCTAAAATAGTCTCTCGACGATCTGCCCAGCGTACAGTGCGTTACACTTTTAGCACGAACACGACATTGCCACATACTCGTATTTTACTTCGAACGAGTAAATGAGAGCACGAAATTTTACGGCGTAGGTCAGCGTCTGAAATGAGCACACCCCGCAACACAAAAACTGCTAATAACAGACATTCAATTAAAAAAAAAAAAACAGCTGCGTACTGTTTGTTTGCGTGAACGGTTTGTGCAATATCAGGTCGTTTTTTTTTCTTCCACACTCGGTATTTGCACACGAGACCTGCAGCCTCAGAATAAACGTCACTAAAAACTACCTAAGTACTTTAACTAGTCGCCCGCCCAAAACGCTACTCATTACGGATCCTCAAATGCTGTACTCTACCTCATTAGTACCACGTTACTTTAGAGTTCAAGGGGTACTGAACGTAAACTTAAAATATACTTCTCACTTTCAGAAATAAGTTAAACATGATAAACTTTATGAGTCTATCGGCTAATGACACTCGCACGCTTGTATTTTTAACAGATGGCTGTATTTTTCGTCCTACGGGTTCGATTCTGGCGAACGCTTCAAAATTAGCCATCGAAGAGCCTCGGTATATGCGTCGCGCCCGTTACTTTCCCGCGACGTCATCGGCCTCTCTCGGGCCAAGTGTACCGTAGTTAGGACCGTTGACACTTGGTGGCATCAACGTGTTATTACCCCGCTTAGTCAGAGTGCCCAAGGGCTGTAACATATCACAGGGATATTGCGGAGCCGGCGGAGTCGTGCGCGATATGTCAACACGTGGTGCGTCGTCTGCTCCGTGACTTGGCCGCTTTCGGGTGCGAGCTCGCTGTTCTTTAAACGGGGCTACATCGTCGCGAGGTAGCTTTGTTATCTTGCACAAGGCGAGATGCTGGTAGACATGAGCGTACCAACCGGGGGGGGGGGGGGGGGGGGGGGGACAAGTGGAGCGCTTGCCCCCCCCCCCCCCCCCAGTTTTCAAGGGGGGGGGGAAGCAAGGCATGTGTCCCCCCCCCCCCCTCCCCCGCCTTCATCAGGAAGAGTCCAAGGTGGCCAACTGTGCTATAGCTTTCTTCACCAAATCTTCGGTATTACGTTCTGGCCTAGGTAACCTGTACTAGTGAGCGAACTTTCTATATAGTGGCTTTACCGCCGGAGGCCGATGCCGTCACGACATTCCATTTTAATAACCAACAACCAGGTGAATTTTGGTTATCGTTTTATTCTGTTTAAGATATGTTTTCTCGCATATCCGAACGAACCATTGATGTTTCTGAGGCTCTACTGCTACCTACGTCATGTTGAAGCAAATAAATAAGCTCCAGAATTTGGTTTCCGTACTCCTTTGAGGCAGATCATGGTCGATACGTATCAAATCATACGTAAATTGTTTAACTTAATTTTTTTTACATTTTCCAGAGGCCACAACTCGATAAATAATCACCCCAAAAACCTCTCTTTTGTTATATATATATATATATATGGAGATATATATATATATTGCACAAGAACAATGGTGTCTAATTATTCAATACTGCATTCCGTGATATTACGGGTGTGGCCAGTAGCGCACCAGGACTTTGCGAACTCGGAGTTGGCTGTTTTTAACTTTAAAGTCTGTCGCTATGCCCTAAAATATAGATTTCCCCAACAGGGCGGTGCAAACTGCCGTATTTACAAAGAATATTTAACAAATGGAGATATGGTATAGTGAAACAGGCTCGCAAGTTTCCCTCGTTTAATGTGTACATATTGTAACGATGTGCAGCATTTTCTAGCTGAAAACATTTAACGGACGTAACAATTCACCGCCGTTGTTTGGAATAACTAAATATTTAAATATAAAATACTTTAGATTATTTTTTCTTAAACTTTTGTTATAAAAATGTGTGACGTATTCTTCACTAAGCGGCAGGTGGAGTCCTCCGTTATTTGGCTACGCAGAACAAAACATCTGGCGTTATATTATCGCGAAGCCACGCGGAGTTTTAAGGACAAACTCTCTGAACTTCCCACTCTGCTTCCCCTCTCCCCGTCTCGAGCGGATCTCCACCCGCAAAAGAAGAGCCAGACTGTGCAAAATGTCTCTCGTATAGGAAGAGGAGTGGAGCGCACACGCCGTCACGCTTAGAACAACACGGCGCACGGTGATGGGACCCCGTCGACGTATTTGTTCCATTGTGTAGCCGTTTTTTGAAGGACAGCGTCGGGATGTGACTGAACTGCGCCGACGCCACACAAACACACAGAAAAAAAAGATGATTCATTCGCTGCGCCAAAAGTGTCAGAGTGATCCATCCGACAGACTGCAGAGGCCCGGCTGGGCGGCGCTCGCTCGCTTCTTCTTTCTGCGCTGACAGTGCGCCGACAAGCGCGTTACAAATGGGAGCCGAAACAATAGACTGCCTGAAGTGTTAGTCAAGTTCCAGCTGGTTGCTCCGAGGCTGCGTGTACGCGACCCATCCGCCATGTCGCGCGCGTGTGTAGTACTAACAGCAGCGATTCTTAGTTGCCGTCGTATACACATCGGCGAGCACTCAAAAGGAAACAAAGAAAACTGCAACTGCCTTTAGGCTTTAGCACTAAATCCGAGCGCAGCCGACGATCCGACGCAGCCAATCAGGAAGCGGCTGAAGGGCATCGTCATGTCACTCGTCGTCTTTGCGAGCTTTCCTATCATCGACTTAGCCAATGCCAACGTTATTAGATTCGCTCAGTGACGGAACTGCTCACAGTTGCTGCTTACACGAGCAGTACCCCCCTCATTCACCACGACTCACCTCCCGTCGTTCGACGCGCCGGACGGCTGCTAAGCTAACTACAGTGTATTCTATAGTATATAGAACACGTATGTATTGAAGCACAGCGTCTAGATGGCGTTTTAGCTCTGCTCTATGCAGAGCCGTATGTGGGGAGAGTTTGGCAAGTCTATGATCTCGCCACCGTAACACCCTCCTCCCGAGTGAGCCAATCATCCCGCGGCGCAAAGCGAGAGGCGTGAGGGCATGTGCTTGAACTCCCGGCTGCTCCCAGCTGAGAGGGCAGGGCCGCCTTTTTCATTCATTCGCCCGGCGGAATGCATGGGATTGGCATCTTAACTACGGTTATTTCCTTTTATATCGATGGCTCTGACAAGAAAATTATATTCTGTTATTCCTCGGTGGGTTAAAAAGCTAAGAAATGAAGTTTTCTCGGCATATGGCCGCAAACTATTCAGGCAAAAAAGAAGTCAGCTCGTAGCAGACGACGCGTAGCCTCAACAGTGTTCTGCTCCGACAGCGTTGCGTCAAAATGACGGTCGTCTCCTTTTTGTTCCATTCTTTCTCTCTCGCTCCTTCGGAGCTCTCCTCCCTTTCCTTTCCTCTTCTCTTCTCTAGCGTCTTCGCTGCCATACCCACTGGCCAGACTCTCCCAATATACGCCTCTAGCTCTATGCAACGCACGGTTATGAAACAAAAATCTAGATGACGCTTCAAACAACGGGGGGCGTGGACCGAAGTGAGAGAGGGGGGACCTCCTTCCGTGGGTATTCCACAACTGACCTAATCTAGTAACGGTGACCAATGCCGAGCGCAAGTTTGTCTGCTTCGTTTGCGCAGGGGGGGGGGGGGGGGGGGGGGGGGGCGGTTGTGATGACGTCCGAACGCCGAGTTCCGATTGGCTCTGACTAAAGAACCGCGGGTATACCTTAAAGCAAGCCGTTTTTAGGTTACCATTATCCTTCAATTATAGCCAATCAGAGCACGGCGTTCTGACGTCGCCACAACCTTTGCACAAGCAGCAGACAAACTTGCCCTCCGCATAAGATAGAGTGAATGCACCGTGATTCTGCACTTGCCTGTGCTTGATTAGTCCAGCCAGTCATAGCAAACGCACGCGGACATTTAGCACCGTAACGATACAGCCTTGATTGGTTTGATTGGTGGAAAAAGAGGGAGGTGTCTGAACAGCGCCGCCTCGCCATAGAAGAAGTAAGGTTTCTTTGAATGCCTGGCAAACGCCGCGATAGGCGATATGACAAGGGCCTCGAGGAACCCTCCTTATTCGCGCACACGCTTTCAAGACTGCACCTGCGCGGAAGCCCTAAACCGACGGTGCCCCTGTCGGGAGATGCGCGAAGAAGAAGTGAAAGTTTGGCCCCCCTTCTGGTCTTGTTCGGACAGTTCTCCCTTCTTCCAGCATATCGTACTGGGCGATCCCAAACACCACAACAAGATGAACACATCGGCAGGGGCCCAAACCTCTCTCGGCAGTACAGGTAGCTGCATGTTGTCAAAAGGCACGGTAATAGACGTACTTCAGGCGGTCGGACGCTGCGCCTACGCCGAAGAACCGTCGTGGCGAAGATTGGCACACGATTTTCTCTCTTGACGCCAGGGCGCGCCACCTACGCCGAGGCCGTCCTTTCCCGAGCGGTAGCCGGCGGTAGCATGCGCCGGGCTGCAGCGCTGCGCAGTTTTCAGCTGTTATCGTGTTTTCTCTGGCCAATTTCGGCTTGCGGAAGTTGCCGGCAATGGGGAAGAACTTGTGATTCGTTCCACGGTGCAACGCGAGATACAAAACGTGAACGGAGAAGTTATCTATTTCTGCTACTCGCAAAGAGGACCGCCTAAAGCTATGGCGTGACGCGACCCTGCGCAAGGACTGCCTGCTGCATTCCAAAGACTCCGTCTACGAGACAAATTTCGAGTCAAGGTTGTGAGTAAATCGTGGAAAGCAGTCTACTAGACAACATCCTCTTAAATGCCCCACGGAAAGCTGCTTTGGCGAAAGATGCATTGCCAACAAAGTTTCCGGTTTACCCCTGCTACCTGACGAAGAACGAGAAAAAATACAGGGAGATCAATTGATGGATTCTTAGGGAATGCGTTAGCACGACCCTTGGGAGACGCCACACACGTCCCCCTTTGGGAAACGCTGACGTTAACCCCTTCACTTTTATGTTTTGGCTTTTTCTTTTCATTCCTCTATTTGTTGCTGCCCCGTTTTGGCCTCGTTACGCAGTCAGTGTTACCGTTTCCCAAATGAGGACTTGTGTGGCGTTTCCCAAGGGTCATGCTAACGCATTGCCTAAGAATCCACGAGTGGATCTTCCTGTAATTTTTTGCACACCTTTTCTGTACACTGCCTGCCACAGTACGTCGACAACTTCGGATATGGTCATCCATATCACTCGTGGAAAAAACCATATCAATACCACTCGTGGCAGCTTGAGCCACATCCATATCACTCATGGAGGGAGCCGCATCTATCGTTTTAACTACACACACACATTACAGCCCACGTACCGCTACTACGGAAACCCAGAGCGAAGATAAAGCGGCGACGGCAGAGCGGCAACTGAGCACGCCCACATTCTACCGTGCCGCGGCGCCTCCTCTTCTCTGGCGCCGCACCAGCTATGCGACGCTCCTATCATGAAAACGAAAACGCTCGTTTCGGCGAAAACTCGGCGGTGTCTGTCACTTCGTCATTGTCGAGGAGAAAGGGAGAGGTTGACTGGTGCTCTCGTCAGCGCTTCGGACCAACGGGAGCGTCGCACCCGTCACCCTCTTCCCTTCTTCCTACTCTCCCCCGGTACTGACAAAAGAAACACATCGCCGGGTTTACATCGAAACGAGCGTTATAATACTAACGCATAAAAAAATAAATAAAGGAAAAAAAACAAGAACGTCGGTGCCTACCTTTCAGCGAACGGCTCTGTGTCGCGGAGAAGTGCTCAAGCTCTAGTTACTCGGTGAATGCTATTTTTCACACATTCAGTTTTACTTCACTCGGAAGTGCAAGAGTAGTGCATTCACCATTACTTTTTGTTTGTCCTATTTCGCCTGTCCCTAAAATAAAGCGTGTTTACTGTCTGAATTGTGTTATCAACTTAGTTTTCTGTTCAATAAACAAAATTCCTGTAATCGAAGTATGTATATACCTCTGCTGTGTCCCTGTCTCATTGCGTTTGTGCACCGGAACTAACGTTCAATTAGTCCTGTCACCGAGTGGTGGTGGTGGTGGTTGCCTGACGAAAGGTTTTTCTCATTGGCTGTGGAAAAGTTTTATAGGCTTGGCTTATTTCAGTTTTGATGAGAATGAATGCGGGGGAAAGGAGGGGGAACAGATGGCGATGAGAAATATAGGATGATAAAACACAAGTTTAAAAAAATTGAAGTAAAATAAAGAGTCGGCAAAAAATCCGTCAAAAGTGAAAAAATGGCCACTTCTAGAACGAGAGTCTCACAAAATGTTCACAATTCCCTCAGGAAACTTCACGATAAAAACTATCACTGGCACACGAGCACGAAACGAGAAGCGGGCGGTCGCATTTTCCCACACATCACAGCCTTGCCAGAATTGTCAGCTGGTAAACTTTATTAGAAAGGGTTAGCAGACATTGGGGCTTAATGACGCGATAAAAAAGTAGCACGCCGCCCAAAAGCTCATTTGAAGCATTAAGGCCTGTTCACACATGTAGCTGAGCGCTACAAGCATAGCGCTGACCTCGCGCCAAGCGCGTGCTGACGGGAGCGTTCACCAGCTTTATATCGCACCGTCAAAACTGTTGCTCGTGACAGACCATAAGTAGCTGACGAGATGTAAGCAGCGCTATACACCTTTCCAAAGTTTACAAAATCACATTCCAGCGTGCGATCTTCCCAGCCCAGCACGTGCGTGTTCGTCGCTTCGGAAAGCGAGGAAAGCACGCGCCATACGCACGAACACTCAAAATGTCACCGGCCACACGCTCCTTTTTGGAAAGGTCTATATCAGCGCTTCGCTTCCTGTGAGAGCCGGCCTTTGGTGTGTAAGCGTGGTTTATTAACATATGCAATTATATATTTATAATTGTATATTATACCTCGCGTTGGAACCCTTGATCCGCCGACTTAACCAGAACTGCGAACAATTGCGGATGGGCAACATCGAACGCAACCATTTGATTTTCATCGATGCCATCAAATTATTGGCTGACACAGAAGAGACACTGATGAGGCTGTGTGGCCTAACAAAAACAAAACAAAAAAAAACGCTCTGTGAGATGGCACTAAAGGTGAATCAGCAGAAGTCGGCGAGTAACGTCGGGAACAGTGGAGTCTTCGGAGGGGTGGTGGACGATCACAGAGGTTACAAGTATCTGGGCATCCTGGAAGACTCACGAAATGTGGTGAAAGATGAGAACAAGGCCATCGTTACCAAAATGGCCACCGAACGAACGAGAATGCTTTGCAAGACAAAGCTCAATGCTGCCAACCTATTTAGAGGAATCAACGAATTTGCCCTCTCGACACTCAATTACTGTATAGGTCTCTTACCTTTCAAGCCGAAAGAATACGAAACGATTGACAAGGAGGTAAGGAAGATCCTGAGCGAGTACAAGGTGACGAGGAATGCGGCGAATATGGACCGGCTAAACCTGAAGCGCGACCAACTGGGGAGAGGACTCGCTTGCGATGATGAGAAAGCTAAGCTAATGCTATTCAAAAATGTTAAAATATTTTGAAAAGAACCCGAAGACAAGACCGCTGATGGAACAGGAGAAAAAGGAAAAAAACCCAGCTTGAGCGAATATGTGATTACATGAAGGCAAAGTAACAACTTAAAGAGACCAACTTAACAGAGAAAAAAAAAAAAAAAACAGGAAGAGAGTTGAATGACGCGAATAAAGGAGATGGTGATGCACGGCATTCTTTTCAATAATGGAGACAGTGCCAACGAAGATGCCCGAGCCGAGAATAACGACGACGACAACAGCAGTGTGGTGCCCAGCATTTACGACCGAAAAATGTCATCAATGTGGCTGACGAAGGGCAACATGTCGCCACAGCAGGAGGGGATGCTCACCAAATTACAGGATCGTAACTTGTACTTTGGAGGAATGTCAAAAAGTTGTCCCCACTGCTTCAAGTGCTCAAGGTCGGTGGAACACCTGGCGACACTTTGTGGCGGATTGTTGGACCTGTACTACAAGAAACGCCATGATGAAGTTGTCAGATGCCTTCACTTTCTTTACACCAGGTGTGGATTGAACCGGAGCAGTAAGCTGAAGAATTACAAAGTTGAAAAGGTAATATTGAATGATAGGGTAAAGATAAAATCGGACGTAAAGATTGAGACGGAACTGTCCCTTGAATACAACAAGCCCGACCTGATGGTACATGACCGGAGAACGAAGGAAATCACACTGATTCAGGTTGGCATCACCAACAAGAACACCCTGGCCAAGACCGAGTTGCGAAAATCTCAGAAATACGACGTACTGAAAAATGAGCTCAAGGTAATATACCCCGGGTGCAAAGTAATTATAGTACCAGTGGTGATGACCTGCACTGTTAGCAAGTCCCGTGTATTTGGCGAATATTTGGGGTGAAAAACCAGAGCTGGCAGTAATGTAATTACAGTAATGATATTACTGTAATTTAATTACTTGTTCCAGTAATTAGTAATGTAATTCATTACTTTTTGTAGCAGGTAATTTAGTAATGTAATGAATTACTTCAGCGATGGTAATTGTAATTAAATTACCTAATTACTTTTTCGCACCAGGCATATTTTTGTGTCCACAATACACAAGAGCGCTTTTCTTTTTATTTTACTTTTTCTTTTTCCTCTACACCTTTCCAAAAAACGCTCTCTGGCCGCCGCTATGTTGCTGATGCTAATGCGGCTGGTGCGACTCTCGCGCCCGCTATCAGCTAGACATCTTCTGCCACTCTCTTGAACTGTGAAAACCCGCTCAGCGCGATTCTCTACCTATGTTTTGCGGTTTTGCATTCGACGTTTTCTGGCCCCTCTTGGAAGTTTCCGCATACTTTTTCTGACGCATACTACGTACCCTCTCTCTGTTATCTTCCACTGTGAGAAATAGGGCTGGTAAGTGCCTTCCATTCGAGCTTTTCTGCTGGACATTCTCGGGAAACGAAGGAGGGGAAGTATATCGAACTAAGGCCCCTGGTGGAACGGCCCTCGACGCGATATTTTGCGAACAATGACAATTCTTCTCCCCCCTCCCAGAGATAATCCGCGTAGGGTCCTCAGTCATCTCCAAAAATAGTTGTCCGGGTTGGGGTGGGAAACGGATCAGTCGCGCACGTTCCTCTGTCCATCGGTAAACATGCAACAGAGAGTTCTAGCTGCGTGCCATGAACTGTGTAAATAATGTAACTAAAGTTATCTGTAAAAGGAAGTTATCAATAGCTCCTTTATATCTAAAAGTATACAAAAGTAATGCGAAAGTAATGTCATTACTTTTAAAAGTAATTTGTAATGGTAATTAATTACTTTCTGGCTGTGGTAATTTGTAACGTAATTTAATTACATTTCAGCAATTTTCAGCAAAGTAATTAGTAATGTAATTTAATTACAAAATATGAGTAATTTGGCCAGCTCTGTGAAAAACACGCTATTTACACAAATTACCATAAATTTACACGATGAGTAACGGATAATTCGTTCAGAAATCATGCGAGGTTGTAAAAAACGTGTTTTGGTTCGGTCATACACGCATAACCGTGTAGCCGACCTCGATAACGCGCATCGCCCCCGGGGACGACCGCGGCATTGCCGGCTATCGAAGCACCGGAATGCTTGGGGACACACTTAGAAAGGACCGTCGAGACAAATGCCGCGGAAAGAAACATGTCTCGGAGACAGATATGCACCAAAAGCAATTGCGCCATGTCGCAGGACGTTGGCGAAACCCGCGCTTAGCCGCTTACCGCGCTCGCCGCCATCTTCTGGTCGATGGCAATGCGGCTTCCCTCATGTCGCCCATGTTTGTATTTAGTTTAGGGGTCCTGATAACAGTTTCTTAGACACCACAAATAGAGTCATGGGTCTAATTATTCGTTCCAAACAGTTAAAATGGATATAAAAAGCGTGTCCTCGATGTGAACACGTGACATTGCAGTTGGTTTCGTTTTTGCTTCAACCTTCAACTGCAACCGATCTGGCCACGGCGCAAGCGCAACGCCGATGTACGCTGGAAGCAAGCGCCGGTTGGCTTTCGTTGTTTTTGTTTGACCGGAGAAGATCTGGCAAGTACGCATGGCGCCGCTACTGTTTTGGTTTGACAGGACGCGAGAAGCTTCGCATAGAGCTTCGGAGTTTGCGAGCACATAGTGAAGACGTGACCGGAGAAGCGCCCCTGTGATGTTCCTGGAAGACGGAAAGTAGCATTCGTAATCGTCGTGTGTGCTTTGAAAGCGAAGGGAGTCACAGGGTCCACGAGTTCTCAACCACAAGCCAATGTTCACGACAGCGCGGCGTTGACTTCGGCGATCTCGTTCTGTTTGGTGGAACCCGGCGATGCGAAAAAGAGCTGAAACATTCGTCGTGTGTGGTGCGGTGCTTTGTATTCCGGGTCTGTTTGAACCACGCTTTTAACACGGAGCGCAAATTGTTTGTTGCGTGGTGGAGGTTCAACGGGTACAGTCCCGTCGTCGTCAGCTGATCCGGTCCAGCTGGTCCGGGAGGACGCAGCGAGCGTTTTTAAAAGTAAATCTTCCTTCGTTCCGTTTCAAACTGTGGAAGTATCCCGACACATACCGTGAGTAAGAAGCAGCGGGCGTTTTCAACAAAATTACGTTGTTTTAATTGAATAATGAACTCAGGATTGTTGTCTTAAATCTGCCGTTTTTTATGCTTCGTGTTGGACTGCGTTTGCATAGCGACGCACACCGCTCGAGTAGATGATTCGGTCCTGCAACGAGTTTGTTGCGCCAATCATGCGGCGTGAATAAATTAGGGCAAGGTTTCCTACCTGCCCACAGATGCATGTACTGAGACCATTTTTTATGTTGTGAACGTAGTGCTCTTTCTTTATTTTGGAAGACGCGTTGGTGCATTTATTATGGTACAATCACTTGAGAGTTGAGAAATTGGAGAGCGAGCAAGCTTTCTCAACTTTGTCTCTTTCTCTCTGGCACTGCCCTGTTTCAGTTTCAGTAGGCTATCTACTAGCAGGTACAAACTGCTCTAGAGCAGGTAAAAAACGGGAAGCTTAGGACGGTGCGGACTCCGTGTTTCGCGCTTTTCGCAAAGTGACAGGGTAAATGCTTTCGTGAGATATGCGGAATACGCAAGCGATTTGTTATGCCTGTCGTTTGCGTCTCTCCAGCAAAACGAATAAGATGATCGACTACAAAGGCGCAATCACAAGCCAAGATTTAAGATAGCAGTCGTTTGCTTCGGTGATCCGTGTAGCTGTATTTTACCCTGCTCTCTGCAACACCGTGTCATGACGAAGAGCTGGAACGGTCACGGTTTGTGCTGGCCTCCCGGTTGACAGAAACCCGCGTCGCCCGCATCGGCACCGAGTGCGCTTGGGCTGTTGATGCTCAAGCCTTTCACCCGCGGCTTGTCGCCAGCTCATCCTGCTGCTCAACGGTGAGGAAGCGGCGAGAGTAACCTCGGAAGTGAATGTAAATCCTCGTTCATTCAGTTATCCGGTGTCAAAGTGTGGAAGATGTCCAACGTGTACCGAGGGCGGGAACTACGAGCGTTTTGCCTTGCTTTTATAACCGAAACCAGACCAACGAGATAACTGCCTTGCGTACTCTAAAATGACGGAAGCAATAAGTTTCAACAGGTCGAGTACGTCACCGGGGATGTAGGCGAGACGGTGCACACTGTTTAAACGCTTGCAGTATCCACGAGTGGTACCAGGAAAGCGACGTCAACAGAGAAGGAGCTCGCGATTCAGCATAATGCACTGCTACGGGCCCGTGTATCTTCAAACTTCGGGGTGGTGGCAGTATAAAAAAAAGACGCATCAGCGCCCCATACCAGTGTTCACGAATAACACCGGTCACAAACTCCCAAGCCCCACCGCTCTTCTCGACACCGACACGACATACGACAACAAACTGCATCAAAACGCCCCAAAAGTGAAGGTGTCTGCTCCCGTACTGCAACTGCTGCAACTAGCGGAAGTGAAGTGTTGGGCGGATGTCCGAATGCCCTTCATAAAAATTGCTTTGCGCAAGGATCATTTTCATTTATTATTGTATACGTAATGACAAAATCCCAATAATTTGTTTTCCTATCTGATTCAAGCTAGTGGGACTGCTCATAACACTGGTCAAGCAAGAAAATAACAAAAATTTGAACTTTTTCATGACTGGTTTAAGATTTATTGTTAACATATCGTTATTTATTGCAACGGACTAACATTATAGATTTTGCCTCCATACGTTTTAAATGCAAACAGTTCTAACACACGACTGTCCATTGCGCCGTGTTTTGTGTATTCTTCTATAAATCTGTAATGGTCAGCGACCAAAGAGCTCACCCGCACATGTCAAGCTTATATGCGCCGCGGGGAGAAATGGATATCGAGTAGGAAGTGTCGGGCGTAGTATCGGTTGTTGTGTTTGTGTACATGTCGGTGCTGTGTTTCTGTGTGCTGTGTTGCCTGCGTTGTATGTTAGGTTGCTGTGTAGTTGTGGTCGTTCGCAGTATTAACAGACTCGTCTTTTTTTTTTTAACAGGTCGCTAGAAATC